TAGTAAGTGAATATTTTTACACACCGACATAATTCCATCTATTTTCAAAGCAGAGCCAGGAGTATCCTGCAACGCAGCGCTGTCATTTCCCTCAGAGGGTGTCAACCCACTTTTAACAGAAGATGCCTTATACTCTACAGTCCCGTAGGTAAGACTGAGGGCAATACTGGCTTTTTTGATCACATTCACAACCCATCTTCATATGGGAGGAATGGGAAAAATTGTAAAGTTTTCCTATGTATACAACTTTCAAGCGTTCACATCATTGGACAGCTCAAGATTGGTTGGATGATTGCAGAGTTGGTCACATAAGGGTGGAAAAATACTGTGACAATACACTATTCACTATACATGCATCTGCATTTAATTATCTTAATGAATCTTAGCTGACAATGGGCATCCATATTTGGTTAGTTTTCCAGGCATGTAATGATTAACTCTGATATGATTTTATACCGTAATGATTCACCAGAGCACCACTCCCAACAACATTTCCTCATCTCCAACTTTCGTCACAATTTTGATTGTCATGCTTTTCAAATAAGACTAATGTTTCCTAGGAAAAATGTTTCAATCAAATTTGGGAATTGTCGTATGAAGTCAGTATTTTAAGTCTTTGTAAATGATTTTTGTAGTTTGAAATAGGCTTTATGTTAAAATGTGTCTAAAAAGCCACCAAATCCTACTTTCTTGGATTCATTCCTTTAGTTCTTCAGAAATACACCTCATTTGTTTTATAAAGTCAAGTCTTGAAGCAACTTTTGGGAAGAAAAAAAAATTCTAGTCTTGATGATTTTCACATAATTTATGACTTTATCCATCTGCAATGTATTATTATTATATACAGTGGGTACGGAAAGTATTCAGACCCCTTTTCACTCTTCGTTTCATTGCAGCCATTTTCCCAAAATCAAAAAAGTTCATTTTATTTCTCAGTAATGTACACTCAGCACCCCATCTTGACAGAAAAAAACAGAAATGGAGAAATTTTTGCAAATTTATTAAAAAAGAAAAACTGAAATATCACATGGTCATAAGTATTCAGACCCTTTGCCGTGACACTCATATTTAACTCAGGTGCTGTCTATTTCTTCTGATCATCCTTGAGATGGTTCTACATCTTCATTTGAGTCCAGCTGTGTTTGATTATACTGATTGGACTTGATTAGGAAAGCCACACACCTGTCTATATAAGACCTTACAGCTCACAGTGCATGTCAGAGCAAATCATCATTAGGTCAAAGGAACTGCCTGAAGAGCTCAGAGACAGAATTGTGGCAAGGCACAGATCTGGCCAAGGTTACAAAAAAAGATCTGCTGCACTTAAGGTTCCTAAGAGCACAGTGGCCTCCATAATCCTCAAATGGAAGACGTTTGGGACGACCAGAACCCTTCCTAGAGCTGGCCGTCCGGCCAAACTGAGCTATCGGGGGAGAAGAGCCTTGGTGAGAGAGGTAAAGAAGAACCCAAAGGTCACTGTGGCTGAGCTCCAGAGATGCAGTCGGGAGATGGGAGAAAGTTGTAGTAAGTCAACCATCACTGCAGCGATCCACCAGTCGGGGCTTTATGGCAGAGTGGCCCGACGGAAGCCTCTCCTCAGTGCAAGACACATGAAAGCCCGCATGGAGTTTGCTAAAAAACACCTGAAGGACTCCAAGATGGTGATAAATAAGATCCTCTGGTCTGATGAGACCAAGATAGAACTTTTTGGCCTTAATTCTAAGCGGTATGTGTGGAGAAAACCAGGCACTGCTCATCACCTGTCCAATACAGTCTCAACAGTGAAGCATGGTGGTGGCAGCATCATGCTGTGGGGGTGTTTTTCAGCTGCAGGGACAGGACGACTGGTTGCAATCGAGGGAAAGATGAATGCGGCCAAGTACAGGGATATCCTGGACGAAAACCTTTTCCAGAGTGCTCTGGACCTCAGACTGGGCCGAAGGTTTACCTTCCAACAAGACAATGACCCTAAGCACACCGCTAAAATAACGAAGGAGTGGCTTCACAACAACTCCGTGGCTGTTCTTGAATGGCCCAGCCAGAGCCCTGACTTAAACCCAATTGAGCATCTCTGGAGAGACCTGAAAATGGCTGTCCACCAACGTTTACCATCCAACCTGACAGAACTGGAGAGGATCTACAAGGAGGAATGGCAGAGGATACCCAAATCCAGATGTGAAAAACTTGTTGCATCTTTCCCAAAACGACTCATGGCTGTATTAGATCAAAAGGGTGCTTCTACTAAATACTGAGCAAAGGGTCTGAATACTTATGACCATGTGATATTTCAGTTTTTCTTTTTTAATAAATTTGCAAAAATTTCTCCATTTCTGTTTTTTTCTGTCAAGATGGGGTGCTGAGTGTACATTACTGAGAAATAAAATGAACTTTTTTGATTTTGGGAAAATGGCTGCAATGAAACGAAGAGTGAAAAATTTAAAGGGGTCTGAATACTTTCCGTACCCACTGTATTATATTATTTGTGATTGTTCTGTAAATCCTTGTGTCTTACAGGTAGAGGAGCGACAGCTGAATGAAAAGAAGCATTGAAAATTGTGTTCACAGTTTCACTCAGTGTACCTGAATTAGCAACCATATGCTATGAGCGCAAACAGGAAAGTACTGATAATGTGATTTAATAAGCTATTTCAGGGAAAACAGTTTGCACTCTTTCAGCCCCATATATGTTTACTACATTAAAAATATATAGTAATTTCTATAAAAATAATGTGGAAAAACAAATTTACTTCAGGTGAGTGGCGTTAAGTTGTTACTTTGAAGAGCAATACAATAGTGCAACTTGTTTGTCAACTGTCTGTACATTTATGAGAACAGGAAAAATTGTGTATATTTGTATTTAAAAATTTGATTGTAAGAGGGTAAAGCATTTAAAAATGGAGAAATGTGGTTCACTGTGCAGCCTTCTGAGCTCTTCAGTTCAGTTACTAAAAGCATATGAGACTATGATAAACCGATTCTTCTTAAAAATAGACAAACTGTTAAACCAACTTATTCCATCCTCTGTGTCTGTTCACACGTGTCAGAATGCAGTTCACATGAACAGAGCTGCTGCTGTTTATAAATACACCCACTGTGGTCAACCGGTATCTAGTGATGCATCAAGTTTATCTGAAGCAGACACCTTGAGTTTGTGGTATGATACTATACACATGTCTTATAAAAGTCTTGAGGTCAATGATAAGAAGACAAATAATAAATGCAACTGCTATTACAGTGTATAAAAGTAATGTTCTACTCGCCAAAGTGTATTTTTTGTTAAGTGCATGGTCTGTTCTGTGATGCAAAACACAACTCTTTTTTCAGGGTCCTTGTAATTTGACCAGCAATTTGATTAATTGTCTGTTCTTGTATTAATGAATGAAGGCAGCGTGTGTCATAATTAATAAAAATTTTAATCTTAAGCAAAGTTGGAACACTTCACACAGTTTAATTAAGAGACATATTTCTAAAACAGGCTCCTCCAACCTAAACAACAAAATAGGTCATTTTAACCACCCTTCAAATACGACTGCAGGTGGCGTTCCAAATACAACTCATATTAGCAAATCCTACTATAGCCCCCACTGGTCCCCCACATTTTGGAAATCAGCTGACCTATGTCTCATGACATAAACATGTGTAGACCGCAGCAACACAAAGAAGGTGAACCCTAGTGCTTGCAGATCAGGGTGCACAGCTGTTTGGTTCACCGGTCGACATGCATAAAAACACTGACTTGGATTTAGGCACACACCCCAGGAAAGGTTAGGGTAAGGGTAAGGGCCTACTGGGGCTGACAACGCCTTTAAGGCTAATATGATAGCTAACGCTACAAAGCAAATTGAGCTAATGCTAATTTAGCTACTGAAAACTTCTCCTGGGTGAAAAGGGTCCACCCTACCCACCACCACTAAAACATAACTCGCTGGCTCTTTATAATAGGTGGCTATCATTGTCATGTGTTTCCTTTGTACAGCCACTAGAGGTTGCTGCCACAATAAACGTAAATTAGTGTCACTAATATAACCGATATGGTGGTTTTTCTGTGAAGGTTCTACTTATACCACGGATTCCTGTCCCATAACTGCCTGCTTTAGCTGATTGTCTTACTATAAAATACAACTGATAAGTTTTGCCAGGTGATTTTTGTTTTAATGTTTAATGTCAGCCAAAGAATTGAATTCTCCTTGACAAATTAAAACACCTTGAAAGACCACAGTGTACAATGGTGTCAAAGTAAAAGTATTCTAAGCGGTGGTGACGCCACACCTTCTGCCACAACTGAGTGAATGACATCCATGTGGTTAGCACGGAAAATCCAAAATGAATCAATAATAGAAATACTGCTTTGGTTAATTCCTCCTTTCAGTTCATGTTAGGTTACAGTGAGGTGAGATGATGAAGTTCTTGTCATGTTCTTGTTCATTCTGAGATGTTGGTGATTAATGCATGCAAGGACAAGCCCTGATGGGAAAAAAAGGCAGGAAGTATAACCGTTTATAGTCAGATGAGGTAACATGCCAGAAAAAAGTATTTAAGAGGTCATGGTCACTTACTCACTAACAGCAAATTCTGACATTATAGCACCTCAGAGGGTAAGAATCTGTCATTTTATTCAGTATTTTATCTTAGACTATTATTCAAATTTCACCTTGGAATGTATAAGAAGAAAAATGTTGTAAATTATGAGTTATTTATAAACAAAAAATAGAACATGAATAAAAACAAAATGTCTTTACATTACTAAAGAGTATATGGTGCAAATAGCAAAATGCAGTTAAAATATATATTTAAATGTTTTAACAGCAAATATGTAAATGAAAGGACTTTTTAAGACTTTCTTTAGGTTTTACTTTGTTAAATTAATTCTCTATTTGTTGGAATAATATCATCATCAAATTGCATGAAATGTAAATGTATATGACACGGTTTTGTCAGACAGGGAAGTCCGGACTTTCCAGAATTGAAACATTTAATGTATTCTTCTCTTCCCCGTCATCCTTTTTCATGTCACAAAAGAGGGAAAGAAGGCAGTCTTATAACTGAGATGGATCTGCATGAGGGAAAATGGAAATTATGTGAGTATTTTCTAGCAAAATTGATGTTGAAGACAGTTTTGTATAGATTTTCAATTGATCTTTTTAAAACTGTTTTGTGATCAAGTGAATATTTTTGTTGTAAATGTCAATCACGGGCCAGCTACTTATATTAAGCATCTGCGATTTCGGGTGTCTGTATGAATGAAACGATTACATGGTGAAAGTGCACACTTCCTCTCAGTGGTCATTTGATTTATCCCCTGTCAGCAATTCAGTCCCACCAAAGAGAGTTCTAGTTCTGCTTTACGAGGTTTAATCTGGTATAGTTTATCATTGCATGACAAAATGTGGAGAGGTAAATTTTTTGCTTGTCTAGAGGAATTAGACTTGATCAAAAAAAACTCGTCCTTTAAATGTTGGAACTGAAACTTTGACCGTAACTGTGATGCAGTTGGGGTTAAGTTCACATCTAGTGGCTCAAATAGAATTTGGAACTATAAACTATGTAGGACTTCACCACTTTGACAACTGTGCTTCAGGAAAAAGAGCAACTGCACTGACTCAATAAAGATTAAAAATCATTTGATTTGAAAAGTTTCCTGTTGGATTGTGTCTGTGTGTGTGTTTGTTTCCAGTTGCTGTCAGTGTGCTGCTGCTCACACTGTACCCAAGCCATTCTGCTGCAGTCAGCATGAAGGAGCATCTGGCTGATTGTCTGGAGGACAAAGACTACAATGTGCTGCTGCAGACTGTGCAGACCGGCCTCCCACACATAAATACATCTCACCATGTTGTTATTGTTGGAGCTGGTGTGGCTGGACTGACGGCTGCCAAGTTACTGCAAGATGCAGGTCACAAGGTACATGCAACAGACTGATATGCCATACATGTTATTATAAACACTACTGCACAACAAAGAATAATTTCTGTGCTATCAAAGTTTTTTTTAGAGTTAGGGGCCAGGGAATCAATAAACTACAGGGCCCCTATTCAGTTTCCCCTAATGCACGTAACCACATTAGTTTGTGATCATTTGAAATGATTTGATTTGGGCACAGGGGCCCTCTACAATAAAGAGCATAAAAATCAGGTAAAAATGCAGGAGCCAACTTGAGGCCACTGCTGTTCATTTCATATTATGTGTTAGCGGTGTGTACACTTAATCAAATTAACACAATGGCCCTTGACGGTCTAGGGCCCTGAGGTAGTTACTTACTTTGTCTAGTTGGCAAACCATCAACTTAAAAAACAATAGGTAATAACTTTTAGTAGTAGTAAAAGTAGTATAAGTAGCAGTACTAGTACCAGTAAAAATAGTTGTAGCATCGAGAATAGTTTTTCAGTAGCAGTAGGAATACGAGTAGTGTTTGCATTAGAAGTCAGATTGATATCAGTAGCAATATTGGTAGTAGTAGTAGTATTAGCAGTATTAATATTAGTTAGTAGTAAGTCAAACAATAGCTGTAGTAGTACTACCTGACTGGCCTCGCTTGAATTATCTATTTGTATTTAACTGTCGACAAGGTAACCATATTAGAGGCTAGTGGCCGTGTTGGAGGACGGGTGGAGACCTACAGGAATGAAAAAGAAGGCTGGTATGCTGAACTGGGAGCCATGAGGATCCCAAGTTATCACCGGTGAGTTAATGTCAATTTTTTTAGGTGGTTGATTTGTAGGGATACCATCCTTACAAAGACCTTACAAATACAGGATAACTCTCCCACCATCTCCTCTGTCAACAGCATTGTCCGCTGGTTTGCTGATGAACTGGGAGTCAAGCTGAATGAATTCATCATGGATGACCCCAACACCTTTTATCTGGTTAATGGTTTGCGGAAGAGGACGTACACAGTGAAAACAAACCCTGACGTCCTGAAATACAAGGTGCGGAGAAATGAGAAAGGGAAGTCAGCTGACGAGCTGCTACAGCAAGCTTTACAGAAGGTAAGTAAGACAGAGGAAAATAAAAGAGGGATGGAGTCAAAAGGCCTTGACTGAAACAATGAACTTACTGCTTTAGCCATTCTGAAATTTCATATGCCAGATCAGTATCACAAATTTCCACATCCTTGGAAAGTGGGTGCTGCAGGAAGCTTGTTCTCTCTGTCACTAACCAGATAATAAGTTAACGCAATTCAAGCAAATGCATTTGTCTATGCGCAGTTTATCATCTGCATAGAAGAGTTATGTAAAATCGGATGGTGCAGAAGAGCTTATATAAAAACAAATCTGTGTCAAGCTGAATCTTCAAAGAAAGCTTCTCCTTTGCGAGCAAATTCACTTATGTAGAAGTCCAAATTTAGCTGTAAAGTGTATGTAAAGATATTAACAGAACATTTAGCATCATAGTTATGTAATCACCAAAGAAGATGTGTCCTCCAGGAACACTAGTTCTGTATCACCATTTCATGACAGTCAATTAAATTCTTCACTCTGGACCAAAATGTTGGATTTAACAGACACACTGGCTTTGACGCTTGGTGGCTTCAATTGACCTCATTCTGTTGTCTCCAGGATCTTACACTGGTTTGCTTTGCATGTCAGGCTTGGCCACTGAGTTTTATCCAGACAGATATCAAAGCTCATTTTTTTTGTGTGTGAACACTCACAATAACAGCATCAGTTCTCTCACATTTTCCTTTCCTTGTTTTTTTTTTAGGTGAAAGATGAAGTGGAGGCTCATGGCTGCTGGGCTGCGCTGCGAAAATATGACCGTTATTCTGTGAAGGTAAAACACCGTGTGATTTCATGAAAGGTTGTAAAATGAGAATCACTTGTGATATTTTCAGCCTGTCCTCACAATTGTGTCGTTTTTTATTAGCTACCTGTTAGTCGCTTGACTTTCTCCTGTGGGTGATGTATTGTAAACAGTGAAATTTTTTCTGAGCCTCTCTGACTGCTCGACTTTGTTGTGTTTAACAGGAGTATCTGAAAGAAGAAGGAGGTCTGAGTTCAGAGGCAGTGAGGATGATTGGAGACCTGCTGAACGAACAGAGCCTAATGTACACAGCGCTGAGTGAGATGATCTATGACCAGACTGACATCAGTGACAGCGTGATGTGAGGCCCTGCATCCTACACTGTCAACTGTTTAAAATATCACTTTGTTTGCGCAGAAGAGTTTAAAAAAAAAAAGACAAAAGAAAAAAGTGACAGAAATCAAAGGGAATCATAATGGAAGGAGAAACTGAAGTTGTTCACGCAAACATACATTTAAAGCAACATTGATTATTATTTTTGGCCACTTGGGTCATTACACTGAATAAAATTAAAAACGCAACACTTTTGTTTTTGCCCCCATTCATCATGAGCAGAACACAAAGATCTAAGACTTTGTCTATGTACATAAAATGCCTATTTCTCTCAAATTTTGTTCACAAATCTGTCAAAATCTGTGTTAGTGAGCACTTCTCCTTTGCTGAGATAACCCATCCACCTCACTGGTGTGGCATATCAAGGCTGGCCACAATAAAAGGACACTCAAAAATGGGAATGATATCAAACAGTGCTGAAATCACATAATAAATACAAAAAGAACATGTAGTCACATTTGTGCTCAATTGATTGAAACGAAAAATGTGTGTTTTTTTACTTTTTAGGTACTATGAAGTGACCGGTGGGTCAGACCTCCTAACCAAAGCTTTTCTCACTGTCCTTGATGTCCCCATCCTTCTCAACTCAAAGGTCAAACGCATCAGCCAGTCAGATACGGGTGTAATTGTATCGTACCAGAAAGGTCACCAGTCCTCTTTGAAGGACCTTTCTGCTGATGTCGTTCTTGTTACAACCACGGCCAAAGCAGCCCTTTTCATGGACTTTGATCCACCTCTATCCATCAGAAAGATGGAAGCCCTGAGGGCGGTCCACTACGACAGCTCTACTAAAATCATCCTCACCTTCACCGAGAAGTTCTGGGAGAGAGACTGCATCCAAGGAGGAAAGAGCATTACAGACGGTCCCTCTCGTTACATCTATTACCCCAGCCACAGTTTCCCAACAAATGACACCATCGGGGTCCTCCTGGCCTCCTACACCTGGTCGGATGACTCCCTCCTCTTCCAAGGAGCGAGCGACGAAGACCTGAAAGAGCTGGCTCTGAGAGATTTGACAAAGATCCACGGCGAGGATATCAGGTCTCTCTGCACAGGGGTGGTGGTAAAGAGGTGGAGTGTGGATCCTTACAGCTTGGGTGCCTTTGCTCTCTTCACACCCTACCAACATTTAGAGTACGCTAAGGAGCTCTTCAGAAGTGAAGGCAGGGTGCACTTTGCTGGTGAACACACAGCCTTCCCTCACGCTTGGATTGAGACATCTATGAAATCTGCAATCAGGGCTGCTACCAACATTAACAAAGTGGTGCTCAAAGACTCGGCTAAGTGTCCAGCACGAGATGAACTCTAGAGTCTGAAGAACTGAGTCCAAGCAACTGAGTGTTATAGTGTTAATACCAAATTGTGTAGTATATCTATCTAATCACACAGAATGTATAATATATTGAAATGCCACTTTCTTAAAATATTAATTAGTACTTGTTTCATAATGACTTAAGTGTACACAAAGAAAAATAAAAGTATTTCATGAAGAAGATTTAAAGAAAATCTCCAAAACAACTTTCTTCCAATATACTGTCCATTCACAATACATGTTTTTCTCTCCGTCCATCCATTCCTTTTATCTGTTTCAACCTCTCTTAGCTTAATATTTAAACCACGTATTCCTTACTTTTAACTAGCTATCTCAGCTCCTTTACTAGCACTCCCAATGTAAACATGTAGATTTAAGGTGTTATAACAGGCTGGAAGGAGTGTGTACAGTGCATTGCTCCTTAAGAAGGTACAAGTACTGTACAAGACTAGCGTTGGGTTGGATATGATGACATATACCGTGAGACGATATAAATTTGTCCATCATCAGATATTGTCATGCTGTTTATTCCCTATGCTTTGGTATCTATGGGTGTATATGGCCATAGGTCATGTTAATGAGCTGGAAGCAGGACTGATTTATGGCAATGGGAGTATGTTATCACATAATAACATAATAATATCAAACCTTTAAATTGGAACAACTTTCTTTCTGCAGACTCTGGACTTCTGGTTATCTTCACTATGGCCTAGATTTACCAAAGAAACCACAGTCATCCAAGAGTTGAAGAAGATATTCACTACATGCACATGCAAATGTATCGTATAAATACCAAAAATGCACTGTGGTAGAGCTTTCAAATATTTTTCTTACTTCGTCAAACGCTAACCCAATTTAGGATACCATACCTCCATGTGCCACACACTGAAAACATTACTGGGAGGATGAAAACATGATCGTTAGCTGATAAAATCTAAGATAAATTATATTTGCATTTTTGCGAACGTTCCCATGAGATAAGAGACAGCTTCCCATGAGCTTGAACGGTTGCGGATCACCTGAATGAAGGAGCTGTTAAATAATGAACTGAAAGCATACAGGATGTCATTACCTTTGTGGTCAGGTGAGTCAGGTGAATAAAAAAAATGCATTGAGGCAAAGTATGTTATATAAGAAAGCTTTGGTTTCACATTCGAACACTGTAACTTCAGCTTTTGTTGATCAAGCTCCTTAAAAGGTAGGAATCAGCCATTTTATACAATATAACTATCATTAAAACTCAGTATGAATATTATCAGCATAAGAAATTGTTAATTTTTCTTTCTTCTTCTTATATGAGGAGTTAATCTGAAAACATTACATAGCCTAGAGATTAAACCATAGCCTGAGTGGAAAGTTACTTCATTGCAACAGTGACTGCTAATGCAACAAAAAGAAAATAACAAGTAATAAGTATGTCATAATAATAAATAATATTAAAATGTTAAAAACACAATTCTACTAGAGACTCGTAAGAATAATAAGATTGATCATTCGCTAAAAATTATGTATCTGTCTCTCTTCCTTAAGCCACCAAAGACAAAAAGAAGTCAGGCTTCCAAACTGAAATGGATCCAAATGCTGTGAAGCAGAAATTATGTAAGTTTTAACTACTGAAGAAATGAGAGCTGTAGTTATGTGGCTATTTATTCATTTATTTTGTTATGCATTCATGGTCCATTAAAAGGTAGGTGGTCAGCTAGTCCCAAGTCTGCTAGTGCTTTACTATCCTACCGCAGTCACATATCCACATGATTCTATTCAGAGCTACAGCATTATGGTATGGCTTTCAAGTAGCGCTAGCAGATAATATGAAAATTTAGTGCACTGTGCAGTGGGCTCCAGTTGTGAAGTCAGGACATCAGAGAACCTATCTGGTTTCACATTGGACACAAATATTGGTCTCCTGGGTAAGAGTTTTCTGTGAGTTTGCTGCAAGATTAAGTAAGGTTAAAAAGCATTTGATACAAGTTCCCTGTTGGCGTAATATGTGTATTTTTCTCTCAATGTGTTTACAGTTGCTGTCAGTGTGCTACTGCTCACACTGTACCCCATTTTCACTTCTGCTGTCAGCCTTAAGGAGCATCTGGCTGATTGTCTGGAGGACAAAGACTACAATGTGCTTCTGCAGACTGTGCAGACCAGCCTCCCACACATAAATACATCTCACCATGTTGTTATCGTCGGAGCTGGTGTGGCTGGACTGACAGCTGCCAAGTTACTGCAAGACGCAGGTCACAAGGTACATGCAACAGGTTGATACTTTAAAACTACTTGAATTGTCTTGTTGGCCAACAAGGAGCAGCAAAGCATTGAAACATGCTGACAGGTGCACAGTCACAACAAATCACAGGCTTTACAGCACATGTGCTGAAATGTTACAGAAATTTCACATTTGTCTTATGTCAGGCAGTCACATTCTCATTAAAGTCAGAATTAATCTGAAGACACATGCTTTCACATTCATGTAAAGGCTTTAACAGCAGAAGGTTACATGTGCAGAGGGGAGAGTGAATGCATATTTGGGTTCCCCTTCTTATAAATGTTCATAATTATCTGCTTTATAAACCCTGAAATATTGTGAATAAACCAAGTTGAAGATGTTGAGGTACAATAGCCCAGTTAGTCAGGGTAACTATTTGCTGCGTAAAAGAAATTATACATTGCATTATAATTTCTCCACAATACGATGTGCTTGCAAAAATCTATGTCAAAATGTCCCACAGTTACATGACACACGAATATATTGTAATCAAAAAATATATTATGACAAATCAAAAATTAGGAATGAGACGCCAGTGGCTAAACACTTTATCTGTCTTGACAAGGTAAGCATATTAGAGGCTAGTGGCCGTGTCGGAGGACGGGTGGAGACCTACAGGAATGAAAAAGAGGGCTGGTATGCTGAACTGGGAGCCATGAGGATCCCAAGTTTTCACCGGTGAGTTAATGTCAATTTTTTTAGGTGGTTGATTTGCAGGGATACCATCCAATCCTGGATACTACAAAATCATTTTAAACACTAATGGGAAGATTAAAATGGAACTCAAAAGAATCCAAAAGCCCTGAAATGAATAGTTAAGCTTGGCACAATGGAATTATCTATTATCTACAAAGTAAAGCTTTCATGTTATAGAGAGAGAGAGGCAAAGACAAATCATTGTTTATTACATGATTCAACATTTCCCTCTCTCTCACACACAAAAACGCACGAGGCAGATCAACACCAGCTCCCTAACGTTAGGCTACTTCTTTCAGCTCAGCCAGCCGCATATCGGCACAATCCTCCTGGAAAAAAGGCAGAGTAACAGCGGCTATAGACAGGCAGGGAGACAGCTTCACACAATATACTGGAAACTCAGCTAAACCCTTACTGCAATGTTCCAGTAAGAGTTTTACCTGCTTCGGGTTGAAATAATCCATGCTCGTTACATGAAGACGGTATATTTACTGCATTTAGCCGACATGCTACATCGTTAGCTCACCAGCTGCTTTCAGTAACTATCTTTATTATCTGTGTATTTTTCACCGGAGGCTCAGCAATGTCAGCACAACTAAATGTATTGGGTGATAACGAATATTAACGAAATACGACTGAATATTATAACAAAATTGTGTATAAGACTTTACAGTAGTGTTAGTGGATGGCTCTTCCTCTGGGTTGTTGTCACTGTGAAGTTGCGGTATTGTATATTATGTGGGTCACGTTAGGTACCGCAAACGGAGAGGTGGAGAAGCTGTGTACCTGAGTATTGAGTATTATAACCTAAACTGAATGTTACAAAGCAAACAGCAGCAGCTCCGAGCTACTGTAACGTTAGCTGGCTGCTCCTGGCTTCATCAGTATAGGCTAACGTTAGTAAACAAATCGCTCCACATTTGCTTTTCACCGTTACCTTTTCACATACTTTCTTGCAGGCTAAATGAACAGTGGACCACAGGATAGTAACATGGGTCGCGTTAGTTTCTCCAGCTTTACCAATGCTCACTTTGTTCTTCCTTGACATCATCTGAACCTGTTTGGTCTGATGGGCTTCAGCACATAAACTTTTATTGTTGTTTTTTATCCTTAAGTGGAGCCTGTGTTTTGCTGTGAGCCAGTTGTTTTATGATGTTAGTGGACTGCATGTCATTAGCTGCTGTGTTGTCGCTGTAGTACGAGAGGCTCGGGAGCGCATTAAAAGCAGAATAGTGGCTGATGCAAGCAACGGAGAAAACAGGCATGTGCTTCATTTCTAAGTGAGTTTCGAGCCCGTTGACAATAAGGCAATGAAAATTTTATTAATTTAATTAAAAAACTTGCATATAGTCCCCTTAAATATTAATAAATGCATTTCAAGAAACCGCAGAATAAAAGACATAAACCGAAATAATGGAGTAAACTAAATGCAGTCCACGTTTTTTTCAGCTGCCGGTGCTCACACTGTTGAGATTTATTACATTGTTATTTTTATGAACAAAATAGCTACTGTGTGTTGGTGTTTGCATTTGACAAATGACAAATATAGCCATTTACAATAATTGTTCTACCTGGAGATGACATCTGAGCTCACAGAGATCAGTGTGACTTGTGCACTGGAACAGACAGCAGCTGGCAATAAATTCGGTCATCGCGCTGTTCTTTATTCCTTATTTGTGAAGACGATTTTAGACATTGCTTACTGTTTAGCCAGTAGCCTACTATTTACAACATCAAGATCTAGTTTAGATTCAAAAACAAGTTTGTCACATGGCTGTGCTTTAAATGCTCAGAAATCTTGTGTGTTTTATTTTAGTTACTTCTAAGCTTCAGAAAACACCAAAACCATATTTAGGAAAAGTCATGGGCTGACAGGCAGAGTTATTTGCATTATAAAAACCCTAATGGTTTATCAGTGTTCTAGTGTTAAATGTCTCACTAACACATCAACAGTAGTAGCTGAGTGTCAGAATAATCTCTCTTCATTTACTGTCTTGGCTGACATGCAGTAATGAGATCTTGCAATCACAAGCTAACTCTGCCACCATCACCTCCTCTGTCAACAGCATAGTCCACTGGTTTGCTAAAGAGTTGAGAGTCAAGCTGAATGAATTCATCATGGATGACCCCAACACCTTTTACTTGGTAAATGGGATGCAGAAGAGGACATACACAGTGAAAACAAACCCTGACGTCCTGAAGTACAAGGTGTGGAGAAGTGAGAAAGGGAAGTCAGCTGATGAGCTGCTACAACAAGCTTTGCAGAAGGTACGTAAGACAGAGGAAAGGAAGGATGAATGGAGTCAAGACACTACCTTTCCATCTAATACTCCTTTTCATGTGATAGTCTTGGATCAGCCCAGGACCGCTCCAGAGAATGTTATGATTCCTGACCCCCAAAGCCAAATAGTACATCTGTACACAGCAACATTGATAACTTAATCATCATCCAGGCCAAATCCCTTGCTCTCATCTCAATGCCAGTTTTAACCCTGCACAAACTGCTAAACATGGCGCTTC